CACAGCATCCCTGCTAAACTGAGCTACTGTCCATCCGCCTGTCCAGGACAGAGGATCAGCCTCCACTAATGCCCGGCAACAGGGGCATTGCTAGGCAGAAACACTGCTGTCTCAATACATGAACCAGAGCAGAGACATTGCACTGCATTTATCAAATGAGATATAGAAAAAAATCGGACACTCAAAAAGTCCGGTGACAACCTGACCACCTATCTCTCTGAACTAGTGTGTGTGTGTGTGTGTGTGTGTGTGTGTGTGTTGAACAGAATCAGGATTAAAGGAAGGTAATCTGAACCTCAGTCTCACAGCATCCCTGCTAAACTGAGCTACTGTCCATCCGCCTGTCCAGGACAGAGGATCAGCCTCAAATAATGCCCGGCAACAGGGGCATTGCTAGGCAGAAACACTGCTGTCTCAATACATGAACCAGAGCAGAGACATTGCACTGCATTTATCAAATGAGATATAGAAAAAAATCGGAAACTCAAAAAGTCCGGTGACAACCTGACCACCTATCTCTCTGAACTAGGCCAAGTTTACTTAATGGTAATACAGACAAATCCTCTACAGCAGGATCAGCCCAAAGATCCTGAAGCTCAAAGAGGAATCACAAAAAGCCATTGTGGTAGAGTAACACTGGCCCCATGTAACCGAAAGCCCTCAGAAAAAATACTTTAGTTACTAAAGCATGATTAGGGTCAGTAAATAATCACAGTATTTTCATTTTTGTGTTTAAACATACCATCATTTTGTGAAAAGAAAATTATTTCCTTCTTTTAGAGTGCAACATCACATTTACAATGACTTTTAAGTAGCAAATTATGCTCATCTCAAAAATATCCACAAAAAAAAAAAGAATCTCAATGTCATAATATTTATGTGCTCACAGAATGGCCCTAGTTGTTTTGATGAACTAAAAAATCTGTAATAGAGCGTGAGCGGTCTTGAGGGAGTGCTGCTGTATGAGAGCAGCGTGTTGTTCTTCTGTGAGCTGATGTAAAGGAAACGTCTGCTGCGTGACCTCTACTCCTGTGGATGATTTGTGCAAAAGCAACTGTCTGATTTCAGCTTTCCTGCACTGCCATCTGCTGTGCTTACAAAAAGCAGAAAATGCCTTCATGCATTAAACAAGAAAAACCCCAAAACGTTCCAAATTTAAGATTACAAACCAAAAATCTTGTTGGCAACTTCAACTAAAAGATCCAGTACTGTATATTATATTGTATTGTATTATGTACAGTATGTTTATATAATAAAGAAATAACTATTGTAATAATAATAATAAACCAACAACAGTATATGCATATTAGTTTTTGAATTAGTTTTTTATCTATTTATTTTTAAAGATATATGTCATATGTAAAGTATGTTTACATTCTATAATATAATAAAACAATATAACATCATAAATAACTATTACAAATAATAATAAAAATAACAGTTAATATGAATAATTATTTTGTATGTTTTCTATTATTATTTTCTATTATTACACACAATTTACAGCATGTTTTATGTAATCGAACATAATAATAATAATACAAATGTATCAGAAGGTGATTATCGCAAGTACTACTACTACTCTAAATAACAACATTATAACAACAATATTATTATCATCATCATCAAAATCTATTTTAAAGACATTAAATCATGAGATAAACTAAAAAGGGTGCCAATGCTGCATCACCCAACATCAGCACACTGAAAAACATGGAAGGTTCGCTCTACATACCTCGTACCGGAAAGTTGCATCCAGCAGAAGTTCAGGAAGCATCTTCTCCCCCAGCTCCTGACTGCCTGCATCAGAGACGTAATGAAGAACCAGCATCTCATCCTCCAGGAACCGTCCATGTTTGGCCACGGAGCGCATGGCCACCTGAAACTTCTGCTGCAAGCTCAAGCTCTTGTAAACCTTGGTGAACATCATGAGAGCATGAAAGCGTGATGGCTTTCCATCCAGGTCATCTCCAGTTCCTGATCTGCTTTCTGGACGTCCAGACCGGATGTCTATAGAAAGATCTGCATCATCACGGTTGGTGTTGTGGCTTGCTTGTGTTTCCTTGATCCGTTTTGTGGTGCTGGAGAAGTTCTGCTTTTCGGAGCCAAAGTAGTAGAAGGCCACCACTGCCAAGGCTGCAGCAAAGAGCAGCATGATCTGATAGGACCTAAATGTGCTGATCCTTCCCATGGTGACCGACAGCGCCTGCAGGACACCCATGGACCCACTTCTACATGCACAAATTAGGTCAGGATGCCCTTTCTTCTGTCTAGTTCCTAGTCTCCGATCACACCCTGAGTGCAAGAAACAGGAATCAGTCAATGACATTTTGCAAAGATTCATCTAACCGCACCATATTTGTTTTGAGAGGTTACAGCAAAGAGGATACAAATCTGTCGTTTGACTTCAGAAGACTTATATAGCGATATGTCATATGGACACGTTTCATGAAACTTTTTATTTGATTTGCTTTTTTGACATAATTTGAATTTTTTTGGTTAGCCGTCCCTTTAAAATGTATTCAGGTCAAAGGATAACTTCAAACAAGAAATCTTCAAAAGTGTTAGGTCTGTTGCAGTCAGTAGCAAAGTTTTTTTTTTTAGGTTTGCATACCCATACATGTATATCCATTGACCTCGCTGCAGGATGGCATGTAAGCAAGTTACTGCACATGATGGTAAGGAGTCACTCACCGCCGTCACATGATGCGACAACATCAGAGTCCTTCACTGCTGCTGGAAGCAAACGGTCTAGCTGTAGATCACCGAAGAACGAAGGGAAGAATACATTTGCAAAGACAGAAGAAATGTGCAGACAGGAGACATCTAAACACTTGCTCGTCTTACATCACAGGAAGTTCAATAGTTCATAATAAAAGACTCGTTCATAATAAAAGACCTTTTTATTTCAGTATACACATATATGTATATACTAGTACCCACCCCAACATATGTGTGACCCTGGAGCACAAAAGCAGTCTTAAGTCTCTGGGGTATATTTGTAGCAATAGCCAAAAATACATTGTATGTGTCAAAATTATAGATTTTTCTTTTATGCCAAAAATCATTAGGATATTAAGTAAAGATCATATTTTGTAAATATATCAAAACTTAATTTTTGATTAGTAATATGCATAGCTAAGAACTTCATTTGGACAACTTTAAAAAGAGATTTTCTCAATATTTTGATTTTTTTTGCACCCTCGGATTCCAGATTTTCAAATAGTTGTATCTCGGCCAAATGTGGTCCTATCCTAACAAACCATACATCAATGGAAAGCTTATTTATTCAGCTTATGTTTAAATCTCAATTTCGAAAAATTGACCCTTATGACTGGTTTTGTGGTCCAGGGTCACAAATGTCATTTAAACAGAAATTCATGAACGTGTATATAATCAGTCAGATCCACGAACATTTTCTTGAAATAAGTTTATTTGTACATAGTCACATAACACTCAAAATATTGAAGACAGACTGGATACAAAGCTACTTTTGAACTGAGGTGCACAATGAAACCGAATAGAAATGAAGATGAGGCTTTGTGACTGATGGCAGTTGATAGATGGTTTCTACTGAGTGCAGTCATAGGCCAAAAATCCCTTAAGTTTTCTAGGGCAACTTTTTCAACTTTTCTCTTTTATTCTTTCTTTTTATTCATGCAAGGAAGAAAAGAGGTAAAGAAAGTACTTGGCCCACTATATATAATTTCATAATAGTGATAGTAAAGAAAATCATATCTTTATGACATCATAATTCAACACATAAATGAGCAAAATGCAACAGCAATACAGCTCAATTTCGAAAAATTGACCCTTATGACTGGTTTTGTGGTCCAGGGTCACAAATGTCATTTAAACAGAAATTCATGAACGTGTATATAATCAGTCAGATCCACGAACATTTTCTTGAAATAAGTTTATTTGTACATAGTCACATAACACTCAAAATATTGAAGACAGACTGGATACAAAGCTACTTTTGAACTGAGGTGCACAATGAAACCGAATAGAAATGAAGATGAGGCTTTGTGACTGATGGCAGTTGATAGATGGTTTCTACTGAGTGCAGTCATAGGCCAAAAATCCCTTAAGTTTTCTAGGGCAACTTTTCTCTTTTATTCTTTCTTTTTATTCATGCAAGGAAGAAAAGAGGTAAAGAAAGTACTTGGCCCACTATATATAATTTCATAATAGTGATAGTAAAGAAAATCATATCTTTATGACATCATAATTCAACACATAAATGAGCAAAATGCAACAGCAATACAGAGAGAGAAATGTAACCACTCAAAGCATAAAACATTTAAAAAATAAAAATAAAACACGCTTTCACCTTCCACTAAATAGAATTTTCTATATCCTCCATCTTTTAGACTTCACATAATAGCAAACAAATGTATACTTTTATTATTCTTTGAATTTAAATGGTCATTTTTCTCTCTTTTTATTGGTGTAGTAGAGTTTCTAACTGTAAAGAGACTCCAGACCAAACCATTTAAACATTCACAATCGGTATGCAATTGCCTATGCAAGTAAACCTTCAGTGCTAGGAAACATTGACGGCTTTGTAGTCGACACAAAGACGGTTCCAATTTTCAAGTACAACAAATAAACATTTTGTTGTTTAACTCCTTTTTTCCTCATTTTCCTTTGTCATACAAAAGACTCCAGAATTTCCGCATCTCAATAGTTTGTTTGCAATTCATTAAAACGATTCAAAAGTAAATTAGAAAGCTATTGATCACATTAGAGACGTTTGTGAATGGGCTTTTTAGCGGGTCCAGCCCAAGTAGATCTGTAACCTGTACAGACAAAAACACGTAGTGAACAGAACCATGCAATAAATGGCTTTAGGAGAGCTAACATAAGGCTGCTTACTATGACTAAGCTCTAGCTGATCTCAGTTTCAGGCAGTAAATGAGCACGCAGGGTTAAAAAAAAACACATGCAGGAGACTAAAGCGTCCCTCAGGACCGAAGGCAAAGAGAGAAAGATCATACTAAGCGAGTGTATTAAGGCTTCATATCTGCACGCTGCCAGGGCATCTGGTAGGACAATCGTTATTCTGCGCTGCTCAATCGCACTGGACAACCAAGAAAACACAGAGAGCCGATAACCTGGATTCCCGTGATGTTTCGCACACTGGAACTGGAAAAACACCATTGATATTGAGGAATAAAAATGAAAATATATGTCCTAATTAGTGATAAACCGCTATATTTCAGCCAGGCTGATTAATTTGCCAATATATGACTATTTTAAACCCATCGAATTGGCTGACATCACCATCAGTACTGGCCATCAAAAAAACCATATTGTAGTCCTAACATGAATATTTCTTTCCATCATGGAGGATCTGCACTGTTATTGTGTAGTGAGTTACGAGCATATTGAGAACACAAACCATGTCGTTACCGATGTCTCTGAAAAGTCTGTATAAGGAGTACAAGATTCGTGTAGTGCTACTGTGAGGCCAAAATGTGAGTTCATAATAAAAAGGAAATAAAAATATATTAACGTCCAGTGCATAATAAGGTATTCAGGCTATCATTTTAGCTCGCTGTGCATATAAGGAAGAAAAGAGAACAAAACCTTATCATCTGTCTATTATAAAGACCTGTGTGGCCAACTGAACTCAAAGAACAAGAGCGCAATTTGAAAATCAGCACCATCAGATTCGTACTGCTACGCCTCGGCTGCCTTTCGGGAGGTTTAGTGTTGGTTTTGAGAGGAAAGGCCAGGTAGCAGACCAGAAAGTTTCATACCCTGTTTTTCTAGTGTTCTCAGAGGTTCCGTGCATATTAGAAGGCATTTGTAGTTTTAAACAGGAAGACTTGAACATCCCCACAAAAGCTCCTGAAGAGTGCAGAACGTTTTGTTTTCCGCAGAAAAAATTGTAATATGTAATAATGATAAGAAGAAGAATTGACTCTCCAGGAGAAGAGCAGCACAATGGGGAGAGAGAAAAAAAAAACCCGAAGGACAAAACTCCAGCTATAATGTACAACCACTTTGGACAATGATGGGCAAGAGATGCCTCATATGAGAAGGAAAAAAATAAACAAGAAGAGGACAAAAAACATGTCCTTCCAGGTTGTTTTAGTGCTCTGAAGGTCGTTTGTACATGAGGTTTGGGTGCTCTGATTCTTCATGGCATAAAACAGGCAGTGCTTCCTACAAAAAGGGTCTTGTTTCTGCCTGTTATCCAGCCCCAAATTCCACCAGTGGCTGGGATCTGTGTCGGCTCAGTTTTGGGCATGGTGTCGGATGGTGTGAAAGATCCAGTCCATCTTGGTGGTCCATCCACCATGGTGAGCGTCATTCATCTGCTTCATGAAATAGTCTAGGGCCTCCTGCTCTGTTTTGTCCAGTGCCAGGGTCTTTCGGATGTAAGCGATGTCGTCGAAGGACTGCAGCTCTGGCATGCCTGAGCCCAGCATCATGGAGAAGAGATTTATGAAAAGGTTGGCATGCTGTCTGATAGCCAAGTAAGCCTTGTAGCACATCTCCTGGAACCTGTAGGGGGAGACAGTGAGACGTTCAGCTACCCTGCTGCATGTAAATAAAGTCCAAAAACTCAGAAACCCGTAATGGGTTTTTTGAATGAGTTTTTGGTTAAATGCCTGAAATGAGGTTTGCGGTTAATACAAGCTCAATACTCAATGGCTCAAAATATTTTCATATTTTATCCTACAAATGAAAATACATCGGCACAAATTAAAATACGCCACATTAGTGACTTCTTAAAACTTTTAGGTTTCTTGAAAAAGCCAGTTGCTAAATAGTGGCTAAAATTTAACTTAAAAGATCGCTTTCTTTTTCTTTTGGTGATTGTATTTAGGCATCAAAACTCATAAATCTTGTGTTCATTTGTAAAGCTTATCTTGATAAACCAAACGTAAGAATCATAAACTTTTGTAGGTCGCAGATCTTATTTTCTGCAATAATCCAAAAGTTCATTAAAAAAAAATCCATCGCTGCAACACTCTATAGATAAAGCTAATGAACTGTGAAGACAATAAAATTCTTACAAATTTCAGGAGACTTTAAATGATTTTCATAGGAGACAATATTAAAACATTCCTTCATATGCTTTTCATAAAAAAAAATTAAAAAAAATTTAATGAGCTTTTTTTTTAAGCCTCCTTTGAGTCCCAACTGAAGCGGAGATTTGTAAGAAAGCGGAAGTCTGGAGAAGAGGCAGGAAACTTGGCAGCCGGCTGGCGGTCAGTGTATTGTTTCAGGAGGAAAGGCTGCTGGGATGGAGGCCCAAGAGGCCCATTTTGAAAGCCTCTATTGTTCAACTCAATCTCTAACTGTCTCAGATAGTTAGCTGCCTGCCAATTACTATGTTAATGTTGAAACACAAAGGATTTGTTTCTGTTAAGCTAACACTGGAAAATAATTGATAATGCTTCCAACATGCACATATTACGCACCTCTCAAACTCTCTGGTTTTAGTGCACTCTTGGGTTCCTCCTTTGCTGATCACAATTAAGAAGTCTTGAGTTAAGACAAACGGCACTCGCTCTCGCTTGTAGCCAAACTTCTTCTTCTTGTGGTCCAAAAAGTGACCAAAATCTATATGAAACAGCTGCAGGAACACAAGCAAAAGGTCAATATGAGGATACTGATAATGAAAGAATGTTTCATTGACATTAAAGCAGCACTATGTAACTTTTGGTGCTCTAGCGGTTAATAAACAGAACTGCACACATCCCGCGGAAGAACATTCCAACCGGAGCTACGTCTCTAAGTTTTTGTCTATGGCGATTCACGCAGGTATGTGTTACTCCGCAGCGGTGACGACCCGACCAGGCTACAATAGTCCAAATATAAGTACTTAATATAAGTGTACCGTAGTGATTCGGAATAAGATAAAAACGCGGTTTGGAAGATGAATTCATGATGTACTCGCACATTATATACATTTTGCAAATTTTGAACACAGAAAAAGTTCCATAGCGCTGCTTTAAGGCATCTAAAGATCAAGTTCATACCTGCCCATCATCCTTCACCATGATGTTACTGTTGTGTCTGTCACCGATGCCCAGAATGAAAGTAGCCACACAATAGCCAGCGCAGGATCGTGTAAACAAGTCGATGGCCATGTCGTACCTATTAACACAGATGATTTTGTTAAAAGATATTTGAATCTCATTTTGATTATAAATGGTGCAAATTATTATTTAAAACATATTTGCCACTCACATCTCGCCTTTATTCTTGTCCTTTAGCCACTGATGCAACGTTGAACTGTTAAACTGAAGTGCACCTTTTAGACCACCTTTACACTGAATCTGCATGATGGTGTGGGAACTTCTCACCACCTCAATGAGACCCACGCAGTCTCCGATAGACAAGCAGCCATAGGGGAGCATTCTGGGATACCAAAAATTTGAGAGTTGATATAAAATTGCACATCTTTTCAAGATCAATCAAGACTTGTCTGCAGGAAAATTAAGAACAACTTAACATTAATACCTGGTTAACTACTATTTATTTGGCTGAACAATGTTTTGGTTACCAGGCAAGATGTTTAACCACTATGCCCACATACCTCAGGTCCAGCCCCTGATTTTGCCAAATGTTCTCCATTATTCTGATGATCTGTAGTGTCAGCATGTCTTGCCGCAGGTCTAAGGAAAGCAAAAGGTTTTGTTTTTTTACCATATAAAATGGACATTCATACTAAAAACAAACAAAACAAATAAAATCTGACCATCCCCATTCTTGAAGATGATCTCATTGTTTTGGAAGAGAAGTTCGGACATGATGTCAGGATTTTCCCAGTTCAGCCACAGTGGTCTCTTGGCAGAGGACATGATTCTGCAGTCTTCAAGTCTAACAGGCAAACAGAAAAACAGTCACCAATCAAACAGACTACCGTTCAAAAGCGTGTGGTCAGTGTTTTTTTAATAGTTTTTGAGAGAAGTTGTGCTCACCAAGGCTGCATTTATTTGCTCAAAAATTCAGTAAAAACAGTAATATTGTGAAACATTACAATAAAAAAAAAAACTGCCCACATACCTCAGGTCCAGCCCCTGATTTTGCCAAATGTTCTCCATTATTCTGATGATCTGTAGTGTCAGCATGTCTTGCCGCAGGTCTAAGGAAAGCAAAAGGTTTTGTTTTTTTACCATATAAAATGGACATTCATACTAAAAACAAACAAAACAAATAAAATCTGACCATCCCCATTCTTGAAGATGATCTCATTGTTTTGGAAGAGAAGTTCGGACATGATGTCAGGATTTTCCCAGTTCAGCCACAGTGGTCTCTTGGCAGAGGACATGATTCTGCAGTCTTCAAGTCTAACAGGCAAACAGAAAAACAGTCACCAATCAAACAGACTACCGTTCAAAAGCGTGTGGTCAGTGTTTTTTTGTTTTTTTAATAGTTTTTGAGAGAAGTTGTGCTCACCAAGGCTGCATTTATTTGCTCAAAAATTCAGTAAAAACAGTAATATTGTGAAACATTACAATAAAAAAAAAAACTGTTTTCTATTTGAGTATATTTTCAAATGCAATTTATTCCTGTGATGCAAAGCTGAATTTTCAGCATCATTACTCCATTCTTCAGTGTAACATGATTCTTCAGAAATCATTTTAAGAAGCTGATTTGCTGCTCAAGAATCATTTATTATTATCAGTGTTGAAAACAGTAACAGGCTCTGCTTAAAATTTTTGTGGAAACTGTGATTTTAGGAAGAAACCGTAGGAAGTTCAAAAGAACAGCATTGATTTGAAAAAGCACATTTTGTAACATTATAAATGTCTTTACTGCCATGCTTGATGTTGCAGTAAAAGCAACATGTCTGCTAAGTAAACATACATTCTCTCAGCTGTAAATGCTGCATAGTGTGGTACTCACCGTAGATTACCCAGCTGGTGGGCGGGGTTGAGTGGAGAGGTGAAATTTTGGAGGGCATCCATGTAGTCTGGTCGCCTCATCTGCTCCACCAGGAACTTCATTTGCACCTGAAAAATCAAAACAAATACACTTTAAAATTAAAGTCAGTCAATAAATAAAAATATAATTCTAAGGTCAACATCAGGGCAATGAATGATCTTAAGATTTTTATTTAATTTTATTGATTTTTCTATTTTCTACTGCTCTATTATCGATTTCCCACTACACCAGGAGGCGGGTGCAATAAAATGAATGAAAAATAAAAATGCATGTATCAATAATTTTAGCACATATTAAAAATGACCACTTTCATTTTGATAATTTTTGTTCCATAATTAAGAACTCCTAAATTTTAAGTTTTATTTTTCAGTGATGTTGTTTAATTTTCAGTTATTTATCCGTTTTAATTCAATTATTTTTTATCAAATTGCAGATTCATTAATCCATTTATCCACATGCTAACAGCTGCTTACTTGATTTTTTTTTCCAATTTATTTATACATTTCCCAGTTGATTTATTGATTCCTTAACTGATTTTTCAATAATAAAATAATTATGATTTGAGCCCCCATAATGAAGAGCTTCTCAAACCTGATTCACAGCAAATGCAAAACAACTTAATAGGCTAATGAACTTTAGGCTTAACTACTTAACGACATCAAGTGGGATGTTTATTGTAATGTCTGAATGCTTTTTAAGGATCACCTCACAGAGTGGATGTTTTATCCTCCGTAAATCTTTTTCAAAGGTTTCACTTGCAGTGTACGTAAAGACTCCTAATATAACTTCACGTACCCATGCAAGTACCTACTTTTTGGTGAGGTGAGAATGTCAAAGGCTGAGTTTACCTTCTGAGTTTCATCCTTCTTCTCCTGTTTGAGAATGTCTGTGAGGTTGATGAGCTTCTCCATGGCTTCCACCTGTCTGCTCAGGTGCTTCAGGTACATGCCACATGCCCGACAGTACGACTCCAGTAGCAGACCAAACCGCTGACTCACGGTTTTATTGTGCATTTCTGACCTGCAACCCCACAAGATAGGTTACAATTTAACTTCATTTGGAACTTCAGAAACATGATCATGATGTTTAGGTCAGTGTACGTAAAACCCTGACAGAAAATAGAACAAAAAGAGGAAATCTCTTACTTCAAATGCCAAAAGAAGAAGTGCCCAATCCTCTGGTTGGTAAGAGCTTTTTTCAGCAGAAATCGCACAAGTGGGTTATCAAGATACTGCTCATACTTCAAAACCTTAAACAAATGTAAGAGGAAACATTGAAAAATCAAAAGTAAACACAAGGGCATTTATAATTAATAACTGAATATATCAGTCTTACCTGAACCAACTGAATGAGGTACTGCGAGAGTTTATCATCAGTCAGATACTTCTCAAGGCACCGAACTGCGAAGTCTCGGATCATTGGATCAGGATAGTTACAGTCAAGCAACTCCATGGCTTGTTCCGGCTTTATTGCGGGCCAGTCTTTAAGAAGGCAATACATCTGTGCAACTTCATCCCTAGAATTCCACTTCACCGCCAGAAGAATCTTGGGCAGAATTTCTGGAATATTTACACAATACTGCCTAGAGTAAAAAACACAAATAATTTTAAATAAACTTTTCTTCCAATAGGCACCAAAATGAGGAGAGCTAATGGGGGCGTTAGACTACCTGTGTCTCCATAAGAAGTCTTTTTCCTGCTCAGTGATCTCAGAAAGCGGGTCCCTGTTGCCCAGCTGACGAAGTTGCTCTATATCAGCCTCCGTCATGGCGTGGTCTCGCGCGAGTCTGCTGTTCTGTAAGTCAGATGAGAAACTCAATTAATAAACACAGAACAAATTTCACAAAGAAAAATGTCCTTGCAAAGGAAAATAAATTCATTCATATTTTATTAATGATTAATATTTACTTATAATATTGCAATATTTACAAATGTACAAATATATTTATTTTCTTCCATTTTATTTTATATACATTGCCATTCAAATGTTTGGGGTCAGACATACTTTAAGAAATTCATACTTTCATTCAGAAAGGGCCAAGGGCACTTCATTATTCCACAAAAATAATATCAATATTGCCGTTTCGTGAGCAGCAAATCATCATATCAGAAAGAAGTATCATGTGACAATGTGAAAATTCAGCTTTGTCATCACAGGAATAAATTACATTTTAAAATGTATTAAAATAGAAAACAGTTATTTGAAAGTGTCATATTATTTCACAATATTATTCTTTTGATTGAATTTTTGATCAAATAAATGCAGCCTAGTGAGTATAAGAGACTTTTTTCAAAAACATTTTTTAAATAGTACAGACCCCAAACTCAAATTCTTGAACAATAGTGTACTTTCAATGTGAATAAACCTCAATCACAGTTCAGAAATGAGATTTTGAGCAACAATCTTTGCAAGACAGACCTAATAGGACCTCTGTTGTCATTAAACATTATATGGTGCCTGTTTTTGTAGAACTGATGCATCAGTGATTTTTTTAACAAGAAAGCAGTAGTTTTAAAGCCTTGATGAATCAGCAATGGTTTGAGAAAGTAAATAAGCCTCCAGGAACCCATGCTGCTAAGGCAACATTTGTAGTGTCTTTTAATGTAGGTTCCCATTGATTATTTCTATTTTATTTAAGCTTTATTTCAATTAACAAAAGCTATTTGAATAGTTTTAGTTTACCATAACAACACTACAAAAAAACAAATCATCACCTCTTTTGCCCCCTTCCTTCCTTTCACAGAGCAGATGGAGAGACAGAGGCGAGCTGCCCGAGGGATGTCGGGAATGTACATGTCATAGGTCAGCCACTCGTTCCACCTGGAGACAGAAAGAGAAGATGTCAGCATGCTATCAATTTTTTAAAATGTATCATTTTGCATTTCAAATATCTAACACTTTTGGAAGTCATAATACTGGGCATGACATCAGGGGTTGGCCAACCTTTGGCCACCACTGGCATGGTGAGGGCAATCGCTGGCATACAAGAGAAATTAATATGACTAATTATCATGTGACCAGGGCTTATTTTCAACAAGACTGAAGTAAATCTATTTACTTGTGCTACCCACTGACAGCATGGACCTAGTCGTTGAGTTGGGTGGTACAACGCCACTCACACACTCTGCAGTGAACTTTGTATAAATTAATGGGATATTATGAAATGAGGGTTTCTACAGAAAAAAAGACAGGGTGGGGTGTTTATGTCACAGTGATTACCAAGAAAAATGGCACTTCATGTCAGAAATGCTGCACTAGAAGAAATTCCTTCTCTTGTTTGACATTTAAAGCCAACATAGCACATCTGCATACTTCGGTTCACTTTGGTTTTTACTACATTATAAAGTATGGAAGCCTGTTTCTGACACAGAATTTCAAAAAATTAAGATAATTGCAATTTTTTTCTCACAACTCTGACTATTTCTCACATTTACGGGTTTATATCTCGCAATTATGAAATAACATCTTGCAATCATTTTTTTTTCAGAATTGTGAGTTTATATCTCATAATTGCATTTCGTGAACATAATATGTGATTCTGTACATTAATATGAATATGAAATGGAATGCACCAAAAAAATTTATTGAACAAAATATGCACTTTGACAGATGCTTTCATCCATGAAATTAGGCTCCTGTTAAAAGAGATATAAACTAATGTTAACTCAAAATTGCAAGACACATATACTCATAATTGCGAGAAAGAAAGAATTATGAGATAAAAAGTCAACACTTTCACTCAGTAATTAATCAACTGTAGTATCAGACAGGACCAGTGATCGCATGGTACCTTGGGTTTGAACACGGCACACGCTGTGTATTGACATTATCACACAACTGTTCTCCACCATGGTAGATCCCTGTCCGCACATAAATCTGAAACAAAAGGTAAAAACCAATGAGCAAACAGCCTCTTAGATCAAGTAAATGCTAGTGCAGAAAATTATAAGAAGAAACACACAAACAGCTTCCTGTTCTTTAATGGTATGAAACTTCTGCTATCTTACTAAACACTTCCCATTCGTTTTTTCATAATAAAAGACTTTCAGAATACAAAAAGACATCAGCTAAGCACCTTGTCAATGTCCCGAATATTCACATTAACGTATGTGGCACAAAGGACGCGTATCCTTAGAGTGCTGTTAATGGTCCAGAGTGATTTGGTGGAGGCCTCTCCGTTCATGTAAGGCGTGGCGGTGGAGATGCGGCGGGCGTAGGAGGGCATGGTGAAGTTGTCCATAGGCAGCTGAGAGTAAAGACTGTCCTTGGACATAAGCATGAGGTTTGGCAACCGACCCAGCATAATGCAACTCCGTACATACTGACAGAACCAGAAAGAGAGAAACAGTGAGAGATTTTATACATAAAGCAACATAATCAGCACATCTCATGGACTGTTAAGTCATCCAAAATGTCCAGAGCTATTTTTAGTGTCCTAAACACTAATTCTGGCCGTGCTTTTTGATGGGATGGTGTAAAACTTCAAATGCAGCCGGATACTCAGACTACTCATTTGCATTCTGTGTACTGGCTGGTTTTGAGATAATGAAAGCCTGGAACAAACACATGACGACCAGAAATTTCAGCTGGCTAATTAATCAGTGCCCAGTATGAAACCACAAATCTGTACTCAAGATAAAAATATCATGAGAACACAAAAAAAAAGTATAGAAATTGCATTCATACACAGAATAATAGATGGTTATTCAAGTGAGACCAAAAAGGTCTAGATACCTTGTACTGACTAATGGGGTACTTTTCCAACAGATACTCGTCACAGCCGCAGACTTTCAGGATGTATTTGCCTTGATATTCTTGCACGCACATCTTTAGTTGTTCGGCGGACAGCAGCATGCTCCTGGTCTTCTTCCTGATGGCTTCAGCGATCACCTGCTCAGGTACGCAGTCGTGATTGATCTTTAGTGTGTACTTTTGCTTGTCGTTGTTGGGAGAGACGATCACCCAGATGACCACAATGATTTGACCTAGTGCACAAAGAAGACCAGAGCGTTAACAGGAACAGCATTATTGAATTGATTCCTTCAAGCATTAAGCATGTGAGAACAAACAATTAATCCCACATGGCAACCGAGTGTGTTAAAAAGAAAGGCTGGATGCTGAATGCATCCCAATGAAGTTGTCAGGGAATGAATGTAATGAAGTGGTTGTGCATGCATTCCTCCAGGGTAAGAGGAAACAGAGGAGCAAAAGCAAAAAAAAACAAGCATCATATGCTTCATGACTACTACTATTAAAACACAGGCCCATTAACATATGAAAGAAAACAACATTGCTGCAATACAAAACTTCCTGGAATGACTCTACACTATGAAGATTACTACTGGCTTCAGGGTATAAACCATAAGGAAACATTCCATGCTATTTTCAACCTCAGAATTAATGTGCCGCATCTGCGGCATGCTGTCAATTACCACACTCAATAACGTCGACTGGTCAGTCAATGTGTATTAGCAGTTGGGCAGCACCATTAATAAATGTTTAAACCATGCAAATATCACACTGCTTTGAAAGTGCCTGTTCAAGAATGCGCTAGCATTAGACTAGTATGGTAAATCAGAATTGATCTCAAATATAAAATCAGCATTTTCAGCTTTTTTTACTATATTTTAAATATTTTCATTTAAATATATTTTCCTCAACATTTCCTTACTACTGGCTTCAGGGTATAAACCATAAGGAAACATTCCATGCTATTTTCAACCTCAGAATTAATGTGCCGCATCTGCGGCATGCTGTCAATTACCACAGTCAATAACGTCGACTGGTCAGTCAATGTGTATTAGCAGTTGGGCAGCACCATTAATAAATGTTTAAACCATGCAAATATCACACTGCTTTGAAAGTGCCTGTTCAAGAATGTGCTAGCATTAGACTAGTATGGTAAATCAGAATTGATCTCAAATATAAAATCAGCATTTTCAGCTTTTTTTACTATATTTTAAATATTTTCATTTAAATATATTTTCCTCAACATTTCCTTAAAAAAAAATATAATGATATTTAATTATTTTTATTTTAATGCACTTTTAATTCACTGCAAAATAAAGATAAAAAATTATATACCAAGACAATTTAGAGCATGGAAAATCAGGGACTTCCTTTTATTTATCTGAGGAATGATGCAAACAAATTGTTAAATCAATGCATTGATTTAAAAAAAAAAAAACGGTTCAAAATAAGTGAAATTTACATTAGGTAGTATATTAAAATATCTCTGACTTTTGACATTCACATACAAGTCAGGACACAAGCATGACATAATATTTGTCAAAAAAAAAAAACCACTGAATAATGTATATAATTTAAAAACCTGAACATGGTTCCTTTAGCATAATATATGCACAGGAATAACAGGAACGGACCTAGAACCGTAATTAGGGTTGCCAACTTCAGAAAATGAAAATAAGGGACAACTGTGACTCTACATGGGAAAATAAGGGACGCTCAAAATATTTGTTCTGTACCACATAGAGTATGTCATTTCCGTGTCTACAACTAAGTGTGTATAAAAGGTTAAAAATAATCACAATTGTTTCGCTTAACCTATGTACAATTATTTTAAAAAAATAAGGTTTATTATCATACAAAAAAGTCACACGTTACACACAAAGCATCGGCCTGAGAAAATTTTACCACTATAGAATTGTGACTACACAAGTGGTGTAGTAAATTAGGAGATGAATATACTGTGAAATTACATACAATATGGCACAAAATTTGAAAGTATAACAACTGAATGTCTATGAAATATCAGTCAATAAAGATTTTTTTAATTAAGATTTTGAACAAATATTATTGCAACCATGTCGCCTATGAATGCATAAAAATGAATATTTTTCAATTAAAGAGAACTGAGTGTGTGGGCTGCTTTTGGTGCTTGAATTTGTTCATCAATAATGAGGTCCAAGTTTAGGAATACGCTAGAAGTTAAAATTTAAAAAATTTGTAATTCTGTTTCTCTATTTAACAACATTAACTTACAATACTGAAAGACGTCTTCCCTCAGGTAGATTGCATGTTTTCTTGCCTAGCTGGAAGTTGTGCTTATGATCAATAATCACGTTCTTTACATTCACCCAAACTGATTTCCTGAAATCAAAATGCGGATGGTGAAGGGGATTGCCGTTAGTGCGAGCGACCAGGCAGCAGAGGATTCTGCAAGGTCTTAAAGCCTTCCTTGAGTGGCTATGTTCGCAATTCAAACAATGATGTGTGCAAAAAGAATAATTAAATTTATTATTTGTATGGTCTAGACCAGGGGTGCCCAAACTCGGTCCTGGAGGGCCGGTGTCCTGAAGAGTTTAGCTCCATACGGTGTATGCCTGTGAATACGGGACAAACTGCGGTATGTAGAGCTTTCATACGGAACGCTTCTGATGCCTTAAATACGGGACAATTCCATATTATACGGAACAGTTGGCAGCCCTAACCATAATGCACTGTTCTGCAGTTGAGTTCTGCAAATTCTGCCCACAGAAATTACACTGGTAAGTCATAAGCAGAAGTGCCTAGAAAAGTTGTCTCACTTCAAAAGAACCATTTAAAGAACGTCATAGCTCAAGAAAGAAAATGTGAGTTTGCATGGCCAAGCACCATTCAAAATCTCAATGTTAGATTGTTCTGAGTAGTTCTCATGTTGTTATGCGTTTGCTTGGTGGACTTACAGGCCACCTAGCAACCGTATAATGTCTCTGAAAAAATAATTCACCAGTGTTATTATCAGCCAAAGTCTGACTTAGTCTGTAACCAAGTAAAATAAAGTAATAGCTTTGCACAATTCGAGGTATCATACCCATACAACAGAGGGTGGGGCAAGTTACGGCCAACGATTAAAACTTAAAACCACTAATAGCAATAATGTTTTACAGAAGAATTCATGCAAGTAAATGACAATGCCCTTTGGTCCATAAACTTGAAATTAAAAACAACCCAGAATATTCCTGTAAAAGAATAAACCTACCTTTGTCTAATTTGCCATATATATGCTTTGGAAGCTCTGATGAAGACTCCACGTTAGGAGGATAAACATACAGCGCTCGACTGTGTGACCCAGTGGCATCTCGCAGCTCTACTGAGTCTTTGCAGACATTAAGAATATTTCTCCTAAAGTCCTGCACCTCAGGATCCTTCACTAGATCAAACTCGCACACCGGCATGCCGATGGCAAAACCTGAAACACATTAAAAAACACCATCTTAGAACAAGGTAAGAAGAGGAAAGAGATAAACACGCTGAATCAAATACAATACCCTTCAAAAGTTTTTTAAACTTCAACTTTTTTAACTAATTGATTTGAAAATACAGTAAAAAAAAAATATATAGTAATATTGTGAAATAATATTACAATTTAAAATAACTGACTTTTGAATGGTAGTGTATGTTTTTCAGAAATAGGGATGTGAAATTCATTACTGAATTTCAGTTCAGGTGAAATGTTTTGAATTTGTTTCAAGTCATGCATATGTGCATACGGTTATTAAAAGAAAAACCAGCCCATGTGTGAGGTGTTACCGATTTCTCTGTTGAGGATTTTTTCCTCTCTGTTCCCTACAGGTTCTATGACCTTTAGAAAGGGCTGGAACAGCCGAAGGTCACAAAGTCTTCTCGTCTCATCGTAGAACTCCTCACGCTCCGCCTCTTGCGTTACACTGACGAAAATATAGGATGTCTCCTCCTGCAGCAGGTGGTGGAGGGGGTACTTCCTTGCCTCCTTAAACAGTTCGTGTTTGATTGTGATGAGGGTGGCCTCCCGGAGGCACTCTAGTGTCAAGATCATGCCATTGGGCAATAGACAGTCTACCAGAATCCTGGGGGGCATCAAATGGATGCCCCATAGTTCCCCTGAGGAGGGTCTTGGAGGCATGATGTGTAGTCCTCACAATCTTTAACAGCGGAAAAAAAACCTCCAACCTCTTCTTCACCTGAGGGGGAACAGGATGAATAAAGTATGTTTTGGCAACATGTTTGACATCATGCACTGTTTTCAATAACAATAAAAAAAAAACAATGGAAAAGACAAAATGTTCAGCATTGCAAACTACACCTCAGATAAACAAGTCAGCATGTCCCAAAAGAAACAAATGAGGTCTTGAAAGACAAACGGTAACAAACAGGAACATAGATCGTAAAATAAGCATAATAAACAAAAGTGATGCTACTGACTGACCTGCGTTGTTTACGGTTTTACCTACTGATATCACTGATCATATACACTACCATTCAAACATTTGGGGTCTGTAAGGTGTTTCCACAAAAATATTAAGCAGCACAACGGTTTTCAACATTGATAATAAATCTGAGCAGCAAATCAGCATATTAGAACGATTTCTGAAGGATTATGCGACACTAAAGAGTGGAGTTATGGCTTCTGAAAATTCAGTTTTGCATCACTGGAATAAATTGCATTTTAAAATATATTAAAACTGTCAATTTGTAATAATATTACAATATTACTTTTACAATATAACAATTTTTACTGTATTTTGCATTAAAAAGCAGCTTTGGTAAGCATAAGAGACTTCTTTCATAAGCATTTTTTAAAAATCTTACCAATTCCAAAGTTTTGAATGATACCTAAAATGACACACAACCATGAAGCCAAAAGAATAATTTAATGCAGTCACATCACTGACATCAGTCTTAATAAAAAACATGCTTACAGGGAGTGCAGTACAACCCAACAACACTGAGTCACTGAGCGATGACAGAAATGTATCACTCTGTGAGCGAGGAGAGATATTTCCACATAACATAGAGCCAAAAACATCTGGCACTTCATACTGAAGTGGATGACTTGTTTTTCCCTACAAACATGAGCCAACAAACAGACTCCCGTATGCAGCTCCTAGGTGTAAGGCTGCTGAAAGGGATTCACCAATCTGACAAACAGCACCTTTCACCATATTAATGTGTGATCTGAAATTATTGGATTTTAAAACTAGGTCATGTGAGGTGAACACGTCAGATCTTTTGTCCTGACTATACTCAGATGTAGTTCTTCCAGTTTATTCATGTAAAACACCATGCAAATGGTTTATTACAGAGCTTTGCGAATCTTGGTAACACCACTTCACACTTTTTATTGCTAGTAGACATCTCTTCAGAGTAAAAAGAAAGCAGATGAATCCATATTTCCATAAGATGGTGGCATTTGTGTTTACCTTAATCTGATCTGTTTGCTTTATAACTTCTCTTCAGGTCCTCTGAATAATACTGAAACAACTGCAAGGATGACAAACATTCAGTGTCTAGTGGAAAGCGGACCAACACGCACAGTTTACCCAAAACAACTCAACCTATACCCATGCCAACACTACAAACCACAACAAACCTCCACAGCAGTGTTTAGAGTGACAGAGATGGGAAGATAATAAGATTACGAGGTTTATCATTCTTGCATATGAATAGACTGAGCCACAATGGCAGAGAACCACTTGCTAAAATTAACTGTTTATAAACATACAAGTCAGGTTTATTACAACACCTTAACGTTATATCCAAGTGTATTAGTTTAACCAGAGTAGAAACTTGCATTAATGTGACTATAAACCGGCTTCATACTAACGTTACACCGCTAAACAGGTGTTCCATAAATAAACAAGGTGAAATTTATGAAAAGTATTTTAGTCCATTAAAAAAAAAACGTACTATATCTTAAAGCAGAAACATATTTTGAAGGTTCATATACATGACATATTTAGCCAGCTAACAATCCCAGACATAATATACTAATTAAAAGGAAACTGCCATTTACATTTGTTAAAGAGCTTAAAAATTCCAAAATAAAAATAAATCTTGGTTAGCGTGTAAATAAGTCATTAAAGATGGATTATTTCTTAAAACAATCAGATATTGATTCCTTTAGCCGCCTAGCCGCTAGGCTAATCCGCTAAACGAACCCGATAACTTTCATATTAAAGAAATGCAGTAATATTATTTTAGTACTATAATATAGTAAGATTATAGTCATAAAAAAACACATAAACTTTAAAATACCACCAGCGTCGTTATTCAAAACAATACAGGAATAAACACATATCTCACGTTTATGTGTATAGCTAATAAAGGTATGTACCGGAGAGTTGTTGTGAGGTAATCCGCTGTTGGTGTACAGTCACTCGTTCAGGGCTGTAAATCCAGCGCGGGGCTTTGCTGGGCCTCTAGCCGCCCCGCTCTGACACGCACCGCCTCTCCATCATCACAGCAGCGGCGGCGGCGGATCGCGAGCAATGTTTTCACACAAATCATTCATCACCGAGGGAGAAAGACGAAACACATGCTGTCCAATATCCCATGGATTGGATAAAATCACCAGAAACGCTGTCACGACGGAATAAGGGAGGATCCTGGAAACACACAAGCACCAAAGTGGCCAGATAGATAAGAGGGAGGGTGACTGTGCTAGAGAGAGAGAGAGAGAGAGAGAGAGAGAGAGAGAGAGAGAGAGAGAGAGAGAGACACTCTCGAATCCCAATTGAACTCCCTTTTTTTCTTCTTCTTCTTCTTCTTCTTCTTCTTCTTCTTCTTCAATCGATCATCCCGCTATAGTACTGGAGCAGCCACAACAAACACATTAAACACGGAATAAAGTGTGAAATGTTAATCTCGCCAGAAATCCCTAGAAATCGTAAATATGATATGTTATGCCATCTTCAGGCTGCAAATATATGCGCAAAATGTGCCTTTATACAGACTGCTTGATGTTGTACAAAAGCACACAGGAATTGCAATTGCATAAATGTTGAACCTAAATGTAATAATGAATGGTAATGAATAGACAAATGTTTAAAATATTAAATTATGAACACATTAGACTGCATAAGCAACTTCTCTGAATTCTTTATCAGTGTCTTTACAGATATACAATTGTTTCATCCGTACTAATTTAGATCTATACAGTATATAAAATAATAGGCCTATAATAATAATAAGTAGTCGTAGTTTGTTTATTGCCACTACTATTAATTTATTTATTTCCAGACGTGTAAAATACAGAGAAATTACTATGTATTTTTTTATTATAAATGAAAGTCCATTTTTTTACTTTAACTTTAATAAGTTTTCACAATTATATGTAAAAGTCATTTTAAAAATGTAATCTCAATTTATTGTTGATCATTGCAATAATTATTTACTTTGTAGTTTGAACGTCTAAATGGATGTTTAAGGAGCAAAAAGTAGCCTTGAGTAAAATACAAGATACAGTTTCAACACTACTCGCGGAAAGTTCAAACGTACTTAAATTATATAGATAACAGTAATGAAGTACACTACCTCAAGTAGGCTACTTCACACACCCGTTTGTCAAGTCACAGGCTCGCGCATCTTCTCATCGTGCGTGCTGAATCGTCAATCAGATTCTCACATAGAAAGGAAATGGACTGTACCAACTAGGGTGCGGGAGACGTTACTGTAAATTGCACAATATTTCCGACCATTGGAATTGTGATTACGAATACGGTTTTCCAATGTATGTATTAGCATAATTCAAATCTCCCTCTATCTCATTTATCCAACGTTTTCCTCGTATTTCTAGTGTTTTTGAAACCGTATTTGGATGAAAACACCCCTCTGTTGGACGTTTGAAGCATGCGGCGCACGTCTGGCTTGAAGAAGTTGAGCAGCAGAGAGAGCTTGAAAGGATGCAGGGAAGATGGCGATGAATGTAAAGAACAGAGATGCTTTTTATTCAAGTGCTGACTATTGCAATATCTACAGCTCTCAGCCTGTAAACTATGGAGATTGCAGCCATTATTTCCGTCGGATGACAGGTAAGATGAGACAATGTTTTCGAAATGATTTTCAGTGCATTGCGTTATAACTGATGTTCTGCATCAAATTTGCTTTGCAATGGTTTAAAATAGGACTTTATTAGGGCCCGATCTTTATTTTTAAATAATGGAAATATTTATGAGAAGAAAGGTCTTGATGTCAGCCTAACCACTGACAGATTGAGAATGAACATCGCTATCTGCATTGCCAAAGGATCATGGCACATTAAAAATGTTAATGGAATGTTATGTACATGACCAACATATTTCAAATGTGACTGAAATTCTTCAGGTGCAGACATTATTTCTGTGCTATCCCACTCTATTTCTGTTAGGCTATATAATGATATACTGCTTAAACTCTGCATGGATGTTATGTGTTTGCATTAGATCAAGTCCCAAAAAAAATATAAAAAATCATGCATGCAAGCATGCTTTTTCAATTTATGCTTTTTAACAGAGCGTGGACTAATAAGAAGTGTATTTCTTAAATAGAACATTATGCAGAATAGAATATGAGGCACGTTGAATGAGGTATCTGGTAGGTTCTGCCCATGTCCATTTTCACACTTGAGTCTAGATTACATATGAAAACTATAACTGTGCCGATATGGAGGGACATGCAAGATCAGTGATGGATTTTTGGCTAAACCTCCCAGTAGGAGTCCATAATGCACAATCTGCAGTCCATGTCCTCACAAAACACAAGGGACCACAAGGTTACAAATGTGGATTTTATTTAAGAGGACTCCTTGGCAGTCTAATTAACCAGGCCATACAGGACATAAAAATGCTCTATTTTTATTTATTTCACATGAGAGCACTCTGCAAATCATGGATGAAGTGTTAAAGTGGCTTTTATATATGGTGAGACAATGTGCAGCTCTGGTAATGCATTGAATTCTATTCGCCAAAACAGAAGGACGAAATGCGTGATGATCTTAATCATCATGATCTTAACACTGCAGAATGTCCCTTAAGCACAGAGAGCAACCAAGCATGTAATGCATTTATTCTGCTCTCAATAATTGATGCTGTCAAAGAACAACTGTACAATGCACAAACAGCTTGGAAGTGTTTTGCAGCGGTGCGTGGTGTAAAACATTCTGCAGCATCAAGTGATAGTACTGCTTTACCTTCTCATGTGCCCTGCATACCTGGCATTATAGATGCCCAATGAGAACAATCCTCCCTAAATCTAAAAATATTTGATCCTAGTTCTGATGAAAGAGCTGATGTTTCTTTTCGTACTCCAACTAAACTTTGCATTGCTTCTAAAAAACAGTGTATTTAATCTGAATGGAGTGCAGGTATGTGTCCCTGACCTTGAGTCGGGACTGTAGGTTCTACTTAGACCTATTTCTGGGCTTGTATTCTCTGATGACCAAGAGATATCAGGTTTGTTTTCAGGTCAAAATGAGAAGAATGAAAAATGGTAGGCCATTGCAATTTTTTCAATAGTGCAAATGATGATGCAGAGACAACTACAAGTAAGACTTATTTTTTCATAGCCAGACTTCTGACTATTGGTGTCAACTAATTATTGCCTAGAACTACCCACTCTGATAGGAAAGTGTGCATGACCAACATGAAAAGCAACCAATCACAGTCCATTTTGTTAATGGAATAGATCCAAGACGTACATGTGTTTGTTTCTTCATCAGAACAGATTTGGAGAAATGTATTAATAAATCACTTGCTCACTAATGGATCCACTGCAGTGAATGGGAGTTGATAAAAACATTACAGTAATCCACACGACTCCAGTCCATCAGTTAACATCTTGTGAAGTGACAAGTTTAAGCTAAAATACCCCTGGCCATAATCTTGTCTGATATGATCAGGAGAGAAATATGCACAGATCAAGTACTATTTACAAGCCAAAACCGTTCTAGATGTGAGAGGACAACAGGTGATGGACTTTTTCACTGGAGGAAGTGTTACTATGGATTTTGGATTGGTATTTTGGAGAGAAGCAACAGCTTGAAATTTTAACATTAAAACGTTTTAATGACGAATATGTTTTTTACAAACACGCAGCTTTTCACTTCACAAGACGTTAAGTGATCGACGGGAGTCATGTGGATTATTGTGATGTTTTTATCAGCTATTTGGACTCTCATTCTGACAGCACCCACTCACTGCAGAGGATCCATTGGTGAGCAATGGATGTAATGTTACATTTCTCCAAATCTGTTCTGATGAAGAAACAAACTCATCTAAATCCTGGATGGCCTTATGGTGAGTACATTTTCAGACATTTTTATTTTAGGGTGAACTATGCAATGTATGCAATGGAAATGAATGCAGTGGAGCATGCAGTGGAAATTGTGATGGCCTATTCTTCCCCTTTGCGATGTAGGCCTATATCCGAGTAAAATAGTTACTTAAATAAGAATAAAAAATGTAGGTTGGGACTTGTTTTTGGAATTGATTAGCTCATTGGATTTGTTTTGATTATGAGGGCACATGATTTAAAAAAATGATGTGCATGAATAAAGGCCTGTTCACACCAAGGACGATAACTATAAAGATAACGATAAAGATATAGTTCTAAAAATCGTTCTCAATATTAGAGAATAGCAGAGTCCACACCACAGATATAACAATAAAGGCATAGAGAAATTATATTGTTGGAATCACATTCAGAACAATTTTTTTCCAGCTGATGAATGATAAAAACATTGACACCCAATCAGAATCAATCTTGCTGTAATGAGCTCACGAATTTAAAGTGGCAGAGGAGCATGCACTTAGAATAAACAGACAGTTATTGTTCGCTGGTGTGGACGCAAATATAGTTATCTTTGTATTTATAGTAATCGTTAATGCTCTTGGTGTGACAGGCCGTAAATATTTTTAATAAACACTGCAATATTCCATAAAAAATGTTAGTTTTGATTTAAATGTGCCATCCGACTTCTGACTAAACCAATTATGACAGTTTGTGGGGTGGGATTAGCTAATTAACCAAACAAATGGGGACAGGGAGGACATTAGGGAAACCTGTTTAGAAGCTATTTTTATTGGAATTAATACACAGAAAATGAAAATACGTTAACAGCTCCATTTATGGATATAAACAGTGGGGTATTTAAGAATTCCAAGAAGTGCCTTTCTAATGCTGACACCGTCCAGGCAACCGGAAACAGAACCATTTGGCGCATTCTTATGTCTATTTTGGTCAGCTGAATCATTGTTGTCATGATCCCGTCGGAACTGATACACTGGAAATATCACACAGCCACGAAACAGCTGACTCTCCAACCCCCCAGTTGCTCGGCCGAAGCACCAAACATGCACTGAGTTCAGGAGGCAGGAGTCAGCCCTAATCACATCCACAGAAGGCCATACTGCAAAGATTCACTCTTGCTACATGAAGTGCCATGCTAAGATATAGTATCTTAAAATAGCTCATTTGCTGCACTAAAAATGTATGTGGCCTTTACATCTGTTTTATGTAGCAGAGTTCTGTTATGTTTCTCCTGAGGTTAAATGTATATTGAGCTATAAAATGAATGTGGGCATCATAGCTTTAATAAATTGCTTTTGATTGCAGACTTTGATATTGTATCTCTGAAACACCAGAGGGACATGTGAGAGTACAGGAGTCTTTTTT